CAGGTCTCTTCTTATCAAGATGCGCTGATTCTCTTAGTGAACCTTTAACAGTGGCTATGAACGATTCTTTGCGGAATGGAGTGTTTCCAGAGATTTTTTCCGAGGCGATCGTCACTCCGCTGTATAAAAAGGGCGACAAATTCAATCCAAAGAACTTTAGACCAATGAGCCTCACTTAGGCTTTATGTAAGACAATGGAAAAAAACCAATTTCTTAGGAATTAACATCCTTTTCATAGGAGAACAATGTTATATCAAACAGTCAGCAAGGTTTCTGACCACAGAGATCAACAGTTAGAAATTTATTGTTATGTTTGAACAAATGGACCCAAGGTGTAGATGGGGGACGGCCGGTTGATGTTGTCTATTTGGATTACGAGAAAGCTTTTGACACGATGCCTATAGAAAGACTATTGTACAAGTTGGATCATTTTGGGATAAGTGGTGAACTCTTGCACTAGATAGCTTGTTTTCTTCAAAACAGAACGTATGTGGTCCGTGCCAACAACACACTTTCATCTGGTCATAATGTGCGTAGCGGTGTTCGGGCCATTACTGTTCATAACCTATATTAATGATTTATCATCTAAGATAACATCGTCTATAGCTTACTTTGCTGACGACACTGAATTGTTCGGCAATCCTATGCAACATCAAATTGAAGAAGACTTAGGAGTAGGTAATACATGAATGGACTAGAAAATGGATGCTGCGCCTTAACTCCAACAAGTGTACAGTTCTTTATCTGGGGAAAAACAATCCTCATACTCGGTATCAGCTTGGAGATTCTTTGATACAAAGTGTGGAACAGCAAAAAGATCTTGGAATTTTGGTCAGTGATAATTTGAAGTGGGAACCTCACATTGCAAATATTGCTAAGTAGGCAAATACACTCATTTACCTTATACAACGAGCATTCTATAATACCTCAGTAGAAATGGTATTTAAACTGTATAAAACCTATGTTCGTCCCAAAATAGAGTATGCCTGTTCAGTGTAGAGTCCATATTTTGTTAAAGATATTGAAATCGTTGAAGGAGTCCAGAGAAGAATGACAAAAATTTCTGATGAAACCAGACATTTATCACATCCGGAGAAATTAGAAATATTTCAAATATCATCTCTAAAAGAAAGACGAGAACGTGGGGACATGATCCAAGTTTTCAAAACTCTTTCAGGCTACTATAGCCCATTAAAGGAGCTCTCATTATTCCATCTCATCGAAAGAAGGGAATTGCGAGGACATTCAAAAAAAATTAACAAGGAAAAGAGCCACCAGCTGATCAGAAAAAACTTTATAACAAATCGGGTGGTATATAAGTGGAACTTGCTTGAGGAAGAAGCAGTGACAGCTCCAAGTGTAAACGCATTCAAAATAGAACATGAAACATCCATAATTAAAAATAGAGCAATAACACTTCGGTTTACCCACTTTATTGCTTAAATAATAATAATAATAATATTAATAAATTGAGAAGTGGTGTGAGGACTGGCAACTACCCCTTAATGTTGAAAAATGTGTATCTTGGGAAAAATAACCGAGAAAATTAATTCACCATCAATGGGTAAGCACTGGTCAGTGTTCTGCAACACAATGACCTCGGAGTTCTGATAACCCAAGACTTGACCTGGTCAGCGCATGTATAAACAATATGCAAAAAAAGCCAACAGAGAGTTATTCCTCCTAAAGAAGGTTTTCCCACCCCCCAAGAAGCATTTACAAAAATGTACAACATATACTGCAGGTCAATCCTAGAATATGCAGGTCAGGCTTGGTACCCAGACCCCATTAGAGACCACAATAGCCTTGAAGCTTTACAGAGAACACTATCGCAATTTGGTAAAAGAAAACCTACATGTGAGGAAAGACGAGAACGACAAAAACTGCTGAGCTTCCAAAATAAAGGAACAAGAGGAGATTTTTATCTTCACCTACCGAATACTCCACAACAACATTCAAACAGTTAGACACGTCTATGCCTTGAACACAGACCTACGACTCCGGGGCCACAGTCTCAAACTTAAAAAAGAAAACTACTCCACAGTGTGTAGGGAGAACTTTTTACCAAACAGAGTCTTTGCCCTCTGGAATCAACTCCCAGCTGAAACAGTAAGTGCTACTTCAGTGTTATCATTAAAGACAAAACTTGATAATCAGTTCCCATAGTGCTTAAACCGAAACAATCACTCAAAAACTAACAGTTCTAAAACAATAATTGATAAGTAACAGTGCAAAAATGGACTAATATGTCTCACCTCAGCCAATATCGACTAGATAGTAATAGTAATTTATAATCGATAATCGATAGCCGCTGGGTTTAAGAACACTTTTTTCCGAGAATGAGCTTTTCACGACTAGCTACAGCAAGTAGGTATCCAAAATTCTCCCAACTAGGCTTCATTGAATAAACCAGAGAAAGAGGTTCGATATTTTTTGAGGAAAACTTGAGAAGAGAGAATCTTGAAAGACATTTCCAGGACTACATGAAAACCTTATAATGAGGCCAACAGTTTTTGTCGCAGCCAGCAAGGTCGCAAAAATTCACCCCTTTAAATTTGTGGAATACTTTGAAGGGGAGGGTCTAAAAATCTTGCCCTATAGGGACAGGAAAGAGCTGATACAAATAGAATGAGAAGTCAATTCGAGAACTTGAAGTGGCATATGCAGTTCGTAGATTTGAAACGAACTCTGTTCACATTTACATCGTTTATGTCAAACATTATTTATCAATTTTTAAATGAAATTTTGAACCTCTCCATTAGATTTATGCATTAGTTTATTGATGCAGACTTCCGACTTTGGGAGAAGTGTGAATTTGCTAATTATGTAAACTGTTTAAATTATTTAATTAATTGCTTGAGCCAATAATTTTTCTTTTGAACTATTCTTCTATTATCCTATCAAATACAGTATTTTTTGCTACAAAAAACTCAAATCGTATAAAAACCAATATTCAAATACTTTAATTCCCTACTCCCAATTGGCCTTCTATTGTGGTTCAACAGCAGCCACTTCCCGGATTTATTCCTGGACAAAATCGAGATTTGCACAAAAATACCGAAAAACCACTTAAAAATAGAATAGTGCCACTTTGGAAAATACGATTTCGGTTTATTTTTCTAAAAGGGAACGGATAAGCGGATTAAAAATGCGACAATGTTATAGATAGTTACTGCTATAGAGCCACCTGGTCTAATTTTAAACTAGTTTACCTTGGCCATTGGACCGGAAAAATAGAATTTTAAGCCCTATTTTGTGGCGAATTTTTTCGGATGTTTGGGTTTGGTTTTTAATTTTATAAATCAACAACTTTAGTCAACGATCTTCCCCGTTTTTTTGGAGATACTGAAAATCCTTTATTATGTGTAATTGGAGCAGGTACCTACCTAGTGCTTAAAAAGTGCACTTCAATTAAAAAAATCTTCACATCGTTCGAGTACGATGCGGGTTTAAAACAATGGCAAGTTTTTTGCGATGTCTAATTATCGACATGTCATAGTCGTGTCTTCCCACGAAGGAAAGGCCTCAAAAAGTATTTTTCTTCCCCTGCATTCTAATTTAATAAAATGTTTCCAATATGTGGTTTAAATATGCTTATAAAGAGGCTCAATGTACTGTGAAATTGATCGGTTTCGCTTGTTAGAGGGGGTTTATTTGGCCCCGGCTAGAAAAATCGATTACCGCTGGCTCTAAGGATATAGGATAATCTGCTCAATAGGGTAGAAAACAGAACGAATGAACACCTTGTGGAGTTTAAGTTTAAGAATAACATATTTTCCTATTGAGAGGCTGGAAATGATGAGGTATTTTTTTATATATATATATATAAAATATGTATAGTATGTATATATTTTTTTTTTGATTTCGGAATACCGCGGACAAACGGAAAACCCCCAGATAGTTTTCAATGTTGTTTTTGCATGGAAACTTGCGCATGTTACTCTTTTAGAAAAATCTTGATATTGATTAGCAGTAGACAGTGATATGTAGGTAGTAATGTTCAATATCAATCATTTGTCGCGGAAAAATAAATATGATCTTATCAGGAAATCTTTTAAAACAAAGGCGAAAACATAATTAAAATCTAGTTTCTTCTGAGATCTATTGAATTGCAAAACAAACATATCCCTCGATATAAAAAAAAAATATATATATTGTACGTAATTAACGACATGTCAAGTAGTCTGTTCACTCGTAAAATAATTATGAAACTATCTTTAAATTGAAGAGACCACACACGGTTGTCACTTATCTGCCTTGTTGACAACCCAGGCAGCTGTAACGAGGAGCCGAGAGCAAATCTAATGTATTGAAAACGAATTTATTAGTTTACTGTTATCGAGGAATGATTGTTTAATTTTAATTTGTAATTTTTCACTCGATTTTAAATGGAGAGCAATGAATAGAGACCAAAATTTTTTAATAAGTGGTACCTACTGATGATGCCTAATTTGCAAACCGATTGTAACTTTTAAAAGGTGACTAATAAATCTTCGTCTAGTACAACACTTTCGTCTTAGTTTAAATAAATATTATTCCATTTTTATGAAAATGCCATAATTTAATTTATTGTGTAGGTATCTATATAATATAATAATTATAAATATTCGATTTCCAATAGAAAAACTTCTATATGACTAGAAATAATAGTGTATGCATTTATAAAAAACCAATTATTATTTTGCGTGTGTAATTTTTCAAATTTTAGCCATGTCCCTAAAATTAAAGAGTAAATTAATAATTTACTGTTAAAAAATTAAACCCTATACTTTCAAACAAGATTCGTCAGTGTGATTTGATGAATTAAATTTTGCTTCACCCTAATAATGACTGCATGACGTGCATTACTATTTTTTTTTTTTTAATTATAACTTAGTGCATTTTTGTGTGATGTTCTTTGTGAGCATGAAAAATTACTTTAGTATAACAATTTTTAAAAGTCGAATGTATGTTCGATATTTCATAAACAAATTAATTAATAAGAAATTTTTATTATTTAGAGGGACGAGAATGTGTAAATTGTGGTGCCACAAGTACGCCGTTGTGGAGACGTGACGGTACCGGACACTATCTGTGTAACGCATGTGGATTGTATTATAAAATGAATGGACAAAATAGGCCTTTAATTAAACCAAAGAGAAGACTGGTAAGTGTAAGTTCATTATTAAATTCAAATATAATTAGTTTAGTACAGAATGTAGTCTAAAGTTCAATACATACCTAATGGGTTTTCACATAGGTCTTGGTTGCGCAATTCATAGGTACTGCCAAAGGAAGGGGAAACAATGACAAGTGATTCTAATTTCGTGAAAACTTCTTTCGACAGTTTTGATCTTGCGACTCAAAATCGTCTGCGAAAACCCTTGGGTGAGGATTGAGCTAAAACTTTAAACATTCATTGCGACAAAGTTTAACGCAAACTTTATCCTCATGACGTGCTTATTAGATAAATCAACTAATGATATTTCATTTTGACAGCTGTCATAACATAATGTTATATAATAGGTCGAAATACATTCAGTACCACCGTTTTAATGATTTGATTCGAGCAATTAAACAATGTTGACAGCTGTCATTTTGACACGTGTTATTTTTATGAAAATGGTAAAAAATTATTATGCTTGGTACCATTTTCATGTAATTCGAACTCACCGACTTCAAATATGACATTATAATTTTGATAGCTGTCATTTTGACATGTTTTAGTTATACTTTGCACTCAGCTTTGCTCGAACGTTTTATGTTTCTGCAGCACCGTTTGCAACAATATATAGGATTGTATCATAACAGATAAGATTTTTACTATACGTACCTCCTATAGTTACCCGGTAGTGCCTAAATTTCAAAGTTTGAACCGCTGTCAAATCTCTTTGCACCCTAGCAATCAGCTACAGATTCTTCCACGTTCAATCTCATGTTTCATTTTATCTGCGGATTTGGGCATTTTGCTCCAAATACTTTGAAACCACTAATAATTTGATAATTTTGCAATAATTGTAGGTACATACTCGAGGTGTTTACTTAAGTCCAATCAATATCTTATCAGTTCAATATAGGTACTTTTAGTTTGAGTAAAAGTGTGAACTTGAATGAACAAACTATCCAATATTTACAAAATATTGCTGCTGCTATAATCATTTTAATTTACAACTCAATTATATCTTCAATTAGGATTCAGTTATCACGGTTTATAATAATAATCCTTCATTATTAACTGTTAAAATTTCACTGTTTCAACAAGACATTATAACGTTAATAAATTGTTAAAATCAAAGGCATATAACTGCCAATTTAAACTATCGACAGGTACTAGGAAGCCTCACACACATACTCATAAATTAACTGAACAGTAGTTTAGCGAAAAATTACATATCCGCTTCTGTAAAATGAATCCTGACACCTAAACTATAACCTGCATTATGTGGATTTATATTTGTGGACGCGATGCTAAAGATAAAGTAGGTATACACAGTAGGTTTATAATTAATCATCATCTTTGAGACGCCTCGGGCTACGCGGTTATAAACACCTGGCCTGACCAGTGCCATTGTTTTTGGTCGAGTTGATTACAGCTTTCGATTGCATATTTTAGTAATATTTCATTATTGGAGCATTGTCTTTGCGCGAACGGAGTTATTAATGATGTTTTTATTTGACTTGAGGGTAGAATTTTTTTTTTTTTCGTTTTGGGTTCGTTCGGTTTTAACAGGTGAAGTCGGTGTATCGTACTCGCCGAGTACTTGGAACAAACTTTTACAGTAGGCAGTTTTCGCTCAATACCTGCCAAAACATTTGCACTTGTTAAACGTTGTTTAAAATCCTCTTTAACTTTTATCGCACCTGCAAGAGTTTAATTTAAATACCCATTCCAAGGTCTTTTCCGATGCAAATGAATAAACATCTTGATTCAGCCAAAATAATAATTGGCAATTATCCAACAAAAATGGCCATCTTCACTTCTTATCGCCCTGTAAAACAACCTGCACACGATGCTATAAAGAAGCGCACCGGTCACAGGACAGTTAAGAAAGAAGAACCAGCTGGGCAACAAAATAAAATCTACATGATGGGTTTGACATTTAAACAGAACTGACTGTAAGGTATTTCATTTTTTTCTCAGCCGCCTGGACGTCGGAAGGCATACTGCAGTATTTGTTTACATTTGGAGCGATTCTGGGCCGTATTTGGTGAAGGCTTAAAGGAGAACCGTGATCCGACCCGTGTAATATATGATAATATAATGTGCTCCACATATTAACTTTGTCGGTAGGTTCAGAGGCCTTAAGCCATAGATACTGGTCGGTGAGTTCTTTTTTTTTCCACATTGTTCTGCTGGTTTAAATAAAATTACTAATTGTTTTCATTTTTCTATGATCTATAAGCTTCTGAAAATCTAAGTTGATGATATGTATTAGTGCAACACTAGAGTGACATTGGTGATTTTAGATCATAAAACATTAGAAAAACCAGAAACATATATAATCACTCAATACCCAATACTACTGTCATGACCAAAACAAAACAATGATGGCAAAATAACATTAAAATCAACTGGGCGGATCCTAAATCATTAATAACCTTTTTTTGAAGGGTCCTTGTGGTGGTGCTAAATATTTAACTTTCTAATGATAGCCTGTTGGATAATATTTGTATTTGAGGACACCTGTTCACTTTTTGATTATTTCACTGTACCGTCCAGCCTGTTAGGACGCATTTTTTATTTGATTTATTCTGTTGTTAGGAAAAACAATATGTCACGATATCTCAAATTTATAGGCAGAGGATGATAAAATTTAAATTTATCATGTTCAAAATGTCTACAACTAACACGTTCATATAGTTGAAAAGTATTTTGATAAAGTAATAACACAATGTATACAACTATAATTATGTATGAATTACCCTGGAAAATTATGCTCTAACTCATTTTTCATCTGTAGGCTCAGTTTTATTTAGTACCCACACCAAAAAGTGCTAAGCACGCGTGAGAGGTTTCCACTTTAGTTCAAAAAGTTAATAAAACGTAGGTTTAATAAACAAACATCACAGATGTTTGACCATTGCCGCCATGTTGTTTTTTTTTTGACAGTTCGTTGGATTGCCTTATTACTAAAAATTAGGTTATAGACGAAATTGGAATAGTCAAGTGTTCTTGGAATTAGTCACTTTTTATCTCGAAAATTCTTGCAAATAATATCATCAACGTCGCCGAAATTTGTTCTACTGGGAGTCTCAATTGAATCCCAATCGCACTACATTTCTCTCTCGCACTGCTAATTGTTCCCTTCCTCTCTCTCGCTTGGTTGAAGTCGACTCGAGCCGACTGTACCCGAATAAGCATTGTCTATTTCGGACGTAACCTAAACCGAATCTTCGCCAGAAACTCATGACGTCATATTGAACGTAGATAGCCGGAAGCATGGACGCAGCTTCAAGTTAGCGTTCCAACCCATGACGTCACAAGACGAACTATTTATTCATGAACTACATACGTCGCGAAAATTCGTTTTATTCACTACCCAGAAAAAAGTGGCCTGAACGCGTTCAAAGAAATTTTCACTTCAAAAATCAACGACCCATCACCATTAGCATCTTGCCCCTCTCCAGAGTCATCTCAGCCCAAGAAGAAGCTCAATTGGATCCGACTATCCGACGCTTCTCAGAATCGCCTTAACCCGATTCTTGGAGAAGTGTTCTTTAATAGAGCAGATAATTTGTCTACATCTTTGGAAACGAGAATGACAAAAACAGAATCGAGAATCGACCCTTAGAGAAGAAAGCCCAATTGGGTATGTAGTTCCTCAAAATCTCTTCGCCCCAGGGAAGAATGGAGGGTGAGCCCGTATGCGCACTTTTCCACTGCAACAACACCCTGCGTTGTTATCCACATATTTAGGAGATTAAAAGTTGAGTTTCGGAACCCGTTGACTGTTGGGGTTCAGTTCTATCAAATAATCAAATATGTAAGGTGATACAAGCCCAACATCAGGCGCAATAGAAAACAACTGTCAGTTCAGGAAATAGGGCATGCACAAGGCACAAAAATAATAATATGACGAATGGCCACTTTGCCTCGATTTGCTTCTCAAACTACTCGAAAGAAGGAACGTGAAATCAAAAAAGGAAAATTCAGGGTTTTCATTAAATGAAATGGAATTCACTTTCAATTACCCACCGGAAAACCAGCCTCTGTGTCCCAACTTCAGGTTAAAAAATCCAGCATTCTCCTCTTGACCTGGCTGCAACTACAGAAATTTCCAATCACCACAATTATTACTTTAAAATAATCTATAGCGATGAGTTAGGTATAACGTAATAGCTGGACTTATTCAAAGATATATTCAAGGTCAATATTATTCCAAATGACATACAAATTTGTCGGCAATGTCAAAAATCCAAACCAGAATTCTCCAACACTAAACCAACGATTCAAAGTAATATGAATTGATCAATTCGACTTCTGACTTATTGGTAATAACCCAAGCAGCGCTTTTACGTCCTAACAACGTCGTCATTGATGTCTTAACGTTAAGGCGCGACATCAAATAGACCACTATACAACCGTCATTTTCACCAAAATGAAAAATCATTTCATGGTTGTAACGACATCGCAGGACGCAAGGCTTTACTAATTTTCAACTTATACGTCAGCATACACAACCAGATTTGAACGTTAACTGAACGTCGTAAACCATGACTAACCTAAAAACAAATATCAAACCAAATAAAGGACGTTCCAGGTTCAATATATTGCACCAAATTCGCACTTTTGGTTTATTATTGGTATTATTTTATTTCCCAACTCATCACATTAAAAACAAAAGGAATAAGGTACCTATAAGAATATTGCGGGACATAAAATAATAATGGCGCCTGGCCTTGTCAACAATAAAATACGCGAAACTAAATATTTATTTAGCTCCTGTAGGCACAAAAATTTCAAACGAAGTCAACTTTTCTGTCAAATATAATTATGATATGCACACAAAATAAACGGGCTCTTATTTTTTCAATATTTTCCAAAAATAATAAATGTGTATAATTTACATAATTTCTTATGTAGTTGGGTCAAAAACATCTATTTACACAAAAATAAATAATTTTGACAAAATTTCCTTATTAAGGATTGATTTTTCAGATATTATT